TAAGTATATATTAGCAAAATTAATTAAATATTACTTAAATTATCAAAATTGTTTAGTCGCACTATACTAATGTTCACTGACAAATGTTTACGAATGTCTTATCGTAGCGGTGTCGTAAAAAATAGCATAGATCGTACTTCGACGAGCGCTAGCGCAGCACTGAGAATTTACTTTTGGCGCAACGGAATATATACAACTTTCAATTATTATTATTGTTTATTTTTTTCTTAGAAACTTATATTTTTTTTTATATTTCTAATTTACAAGTATATTAACTTTATTATTATGTTTTATTTATGCAAAAATTTCGTTGTATTTATGAGAAAATTAGAAATGATTATGGCAAAGTTTTGTTGAAATTTCGGGTTTCATTATGATCAATGTTTTAGATATTTAAGTTGAAAATGAAAAAAAGGACGATGCTGTCTCAATTTATAAAGTAATTATCAAGTTTTAGTACAGATATCATATCAATTTATGTTTGTTTATTAATGAACGACGACCCCAAACTTCTGTCTCTTAGCGTTTTTGAATAAACTACTTTAGAAATTAGGAAAACTAACAAAGAGAAAATTAACATTTCAAAGATGTTGTTTTTAAGATTAGATATCTATCTATATAATTCAGGAATCAAAATGTATATCCGACTCTTAATTTCTTAGAACCAGAACCCCAAAGACCCTGCTTTTAGGCCAAAAAATGTGAAAGGCCTCTTAATAAATCAATGAAAAATATTGGCATTCACCAAATTAAGAATTTATTTTCACAGAAATACCTTTAACACAAATGGAAACTCAACACAATCTTGAGGAATTATAGTAATTTATATTTAGAGCACTTAAGGCTTTAAATTTTAAACAAAAACTTTGGACGAAATCCTGTCGAGCACTTGAAAACCAAAACATTTTTTTGCACCTCTTTTTTGTCATGTATCCATATTCTAAAGAGTCTCGTAATGTGAAATTCTTATTGTACGTATTGTTTGAAATAACACCTGATATTTAATTGAAAAAATATTAATATTAATAAAATATTTTTTGTTTATATCAGTAACTATAAATAAAGGATAATTTAACTTTTTAATTTTTCCCGGTTAAAAGTTAACAGGCCAGAGACAACCTTACGTTCACCCTATTACCACAGATAACATAATATTACATACTTCATTCATTCATAATTTAAGAGCTACGCTCTTGTCGGTGGAGCTCTTGCCACTTTCCGCGATCTTCCATCATGCTCTTTAATTCTTGATACGACACGACTCCCATTTTGTCCTTAATTTGTTTGATGTAGCTATTCCTTGGTCTTCCCCTCCCCCTCTTTCCTTCTATTTTCCCCTCAATAATAATTTTCATGAAATCATCGTACCGTATCAAGTGCCCTAACATTATTCCTCGTCTATTTTCTATGGTGTTCAATATTTGTCTTTTTTCTTTTACCCTGTGTAGTACTTCTTCGTTTCTTACTTTATCCTTCCAGCTAATTCTTTCCATCCTCCTCCAACACCACATTTCAAAAGCCTCCAGTTTGTCTTTTTCCTTTTGATTTAATGTCCACGTCTCACACGCATACAAGGCTATACTCCAGATATAGGTTTTAATAAATCGTTTCCGTGAGGTCTTTGATATTTTAGCGCGTAAAAGGTATTTTTTGTTGTTAAATGCTTTTTTTGCCATGGCTATTCTTGTTATAATATCTGTGGTACAACTGGTGGTGATTAAACTAATATAACTAGAGTGGCTTACCAGATATCCAAATATCGTAAGCGGTGGAGACGGAAGCAGATACGGGTATTACACACTGGAAGGGATCAGGCGAGTAGGTACACAACACGACACGAACACTTTAGACACTATTATTTACAATTTATGTAATACGTATATGACATACACTTTTTCAGTTTTTTTGAGAGTGACAATAAACAAGGAGGGTAGCCCTAGTAACCACTCTAGTCATAGACTTTATACTAGCGCTATTCAACCTTAATACTTTCCCTCGCTAGTTAGAAATGTCTAGCAGTCCCAAGTTAGCTCGAATCTTCTCGAGTCTTGATCTAGGAACTGCCTTAGTCAAAAGATCAGCTAGTTGGTCATAGAACTTGTCTTCTGTATATCTATATACCTTCTTGCACTGTCTCTCGAACAAAGAAGTGTCTTATGCGGATATGTTTCAGCTTATGAAACTCGGGATTATTTGCAAGGCGTATAGCCGCTTCGTTATCGACTTGTAGTATGCCTTCCATATTTGTAAGCTGGTCAAATATTTCTATCCACACAAGCTCGCGTGCAACAATCTCTGCCTCAGTAGTAGATATCGCAACTGATGCTTGTCTTTGACTGAGAAACAGCACCTCCGGCAAATAAACAGGTGACTCCTGTAGTAGAGCGTCCTGTGAGGTCATCACCTCCATGATCTGCATCACTATAGCCTTGTACTATGGCTTTGGCATTTCCATGATATTTTATGCCATAGGATATTGTTCCTTTCAAATATCTAAATATCCGTTTCACTCTTTGCCAATCAGCTTCAGTTGGATTCTCTAATTTTCTCGAAACTAGCCCAACTGCATACGCTATATCAGGGCGTGTGCCTGTCATTACATATGCAAGTGCACCTACAGCTTCTCGATATGGGAACTTTTTCTCTTCATCTCCAAATATAATCGATAGGTGTTGAGATATATATATCTAAAATCTTCTTACACACATTCCTGATTGATGAATACTGAACCATCTTTCAACCTTGCAATTTCCAAACCCAGATATATATTTTTAGCGTCTGCCCTAATTCTTTAAGGAATTGGTCCGCCAGGGCTTTGTCTGTAGTGGCACAAGGCCATCGTCTACATACAGAGTTATTAATATTTTCTTGTCTTTCACTTTCTTTGTGAAAAGACAACAATCGGACAGTTCTGTATGAAACCACTCTAGAGAACCTCTTCAAAGCAAGAGTTCCAACAGAAAAGAGGCTTCTATTTAAACGACATACTTTTGAAGTGCCGTCACTGAATCCATCTGGCTGCTTCATATAGATCTCTTCTTTGAGCTTTCCATTCAGAAATGCAGTCGCTAAAATTGTGTTAAATATAAGTTCTCCTTAGCACTAACACTAACAAAATTGTGGCCATGCGAGCAACAGGACTGAAGGTCTGTTTATAATCAATACCCTTTCGTTGCTTGAATCCTTTAAGCTTTGTATTTGTTAATAGTTTCGTTTGGGTTACGCTTTATGTTGAAAACCCATTTACACGGAAGTGGTTTTCTGTTGGGTGGTAAATCACACAATGTCCATACATCATTCTCTTTAAGGGACTGGAGTTCGCTTGCCATAGCCTTCTTCCATTCAGCACTATCCTCTCTCTCAACAGCTTCTTTAAATGTACCAGGGAAACTCTCTGTACCTATATGGCACACATAGTCTTGATACTTCTTGGGATGAGGTATGGTCGCTCTCTCTCTTAGATTGTACCTAGGCTCCATGTCACTTAATGGTTCGACTACTTGTAGTGGTTCATCAACATCATCCCTACAGTTTTCATCATTATCCTCATTATTAGGGATAATAGAATCGCTGTTCTCATGGATTATGGATTCTTGAACATGGTCTTCCATCACCACTGTTCTATTACACTTTTTCAGTTTTTTTGAGAGTGACAATAAACAAGGAGGGTAGCCCTAGTAACCACTCTAGTCATAGACTTTATACTAGCGCTATTCAACCTTAATATAAACTGCCTAGATATTTGAATGTGTCTACCTGCTCGAACTGTGTTTTGTTATTTTTTGGATTATTTTTATTACGGGTCTTGACTTTTGTTATTCTCTTTGATTTAGTTTTTTCCTTTTCCTCGCCTATCTCTATTATTGTTTCTTGATTTTTATAAAGTTGATAAATTATTCTTCTATCTTTGTAATCTATACCGGCTTCTTTCAAAATTTGCATCATTTTTTTCCAGTTTACATTATCGAAGGCCTTCTCCAAATCTATAAATGCAACACTCGTTCCAATACCAAGTTCTAATCTTCTATCTAATATCAACCGAAATGCCAAAATTGCTTCACGTGTTCCTTTATTTTGTCTAAAACCATATTGATCAGGACCTAGAAAAGTCTCTGTATGTGGTCTGATTCTATTTTGAATAATTTTTAAAAGTATTTTTGAAATATGTGACAATAAACTGAGGGTTCTATGTTCTTCGCATTTTAATGTATTTACCTTTTTTGGGAGTGTTATTGTCTTGCTTACTGAAAAATCTTTTGGAATATTACCCGTTTCATACATTTCATAAATTAATTCATATATTTTATCTACTATTAGGTTATTGGTTATGTACTTAATCATTTCAATAGAAATACCATCATTACCAACTGCTTTACCATTTTGAATACAATTTAAAGCCTGGTCGAATTCTTCTCTTAATATAGGTGGTCCAAGTTTATCTTTATCTATTGTATCTTTATTTTCTATACCCTCTGTAGATAAACCTTGACCATGGTAAAGATTTTCTATATATTTTTTCCATCTATTTACTATGTCTACACTGTTAAATAATATTCTACCATTTTCATCTAATATTGTTGTACTTTTTGGTTTAGGTGTCCTGTCTAATTCCCTAATTATACTATAAGCCACTCCCATTTTTCCCTTCTTCATATGCTCATCTATTTTATCACAAGTCTGTTCTATGTATTTTTCTTTTATTTCTCTACATTTTAGAGTAATTTTGTTAGTAATTCTTTTATATTGTTTTATACTATTCTCATCATTTTTGTTTCTGACTTTTCTTCTATCCAACATAAGGTTAATAATTTCAGTAGTAAGCCACTTCTTCCTAGGTCTAATTTTTTTACATTGAATACTTTCCTCTGCCGTTGTTTTAATAATATTTTTAATAGTATTCCACCTATCATCAATATTTATATCATTTCTATTTAATATATCCTTATGTATTTCTATTTTATCTAATAACTTATTACTATATTGCACTTTACTATTGCTTTCTACCTTAAGTTTAGTGAGATCAATTTGCTTAGGTCTATTTTTTCTTCTTTATTTTTCTTGACTAGAAAATTGTGAGTACTCGTTAAAAGGTTATGATCAGTATTAACATCAGCTCCTGGGAGTGTTTTGCATGAGATTATTTGGTTACGTTTAGAATTTTTAACTATTATGAAATCTATTTGGTATCTTCCAATATCTCCCGGCATCTTCCATGTGTATAATCTTCTTTTAGGCTGTTTAAAAAAGGTGTTTCCAATAAACATATCATTTTCCTTACAAAATTGTATTAACCTTTCCCCTCTGTAGTTTTTGACGCCATGACCAAATTTACCTACTATATTTCCAACAGCTTCTTCCCCGACAACTGCTTTGAAATCACCCATTACTATTAAATTGTCATTTTTATTAACTGTATCTATTATTTCATCAATGCGGTTATACATATCTTCGATTTCTTCATCCGGATAGCTACTAGTGGGCATATAAACTTGTATAATTATTAAATTAGTCGAATCTGCCTTTATTTTAACTGCTGTTATTCTGTCGCTATAATGTATAGTATTTTCCACCAATTTGCCCCATTTTTTATTTAAGATTATGGCCGTCCCATTTGTACCTTGTTTTTCTCTTCCCGTATATATTATTCTATTATTCTCCTTCCAGTAATATCCACTACCTTCCCATCTAACCTCACATAGTCCCAGTATGTCTATCTCTATTCTATTCATTTCCTCTATTACTTCTTCCAGTTTTCCTGGACTCAATAACGTCCTTACATTCCAAGTACTTATTTGACAAGGATTTCGCATGATGACGACCGGTTCAGCCTTGCTTCTGCCCCTGCCGGACTCGGACCGCCACGGCATATTACATCGTGGAAGCCCGTTGAAGAACAAACAAGAACGTTACTATATTCTTTTTCCATTTCATTCGTGCTCCATTTATTAGGGAAATTTGTGTGGTGGTTTCCCCATTTGCCTTCCACACCGTGGTTCACCGGCCGAAGGAGTTTTTTTTTCTGGATGATAATGGAATGGTGCACCCGCCTGCGCTAACGGTTTACGCTGGCGGGGCACCAGTGGATGATGATAAGATGATCATGAGGTCAGGTCAGTTAGCCCATCGTGATAAATTCACCAGGAATTTAACACGATGGTTTCCAGGGGGAACCGCGTGGAGGTCGACCTGATATGGTACATTGCTAGCAATGGGGTCAACAGTCCACATTACTAACAATCCCCTTTCCCCCTCGGCCGAAGGAGTTCACCCGTTGATATCTGGTCAAAAGCCCTTCCTGAAATTATTTCTTCGGCCCTTTGCCAGTACTAGCGTCGCCAACGCTAGGGGAAGACCTATTTAATGGCGGTCTTTAATCGCCATGTCACAACGCCGTCTTTAGACCTTTGTGGTATTTTATAGAAAGATTCACCCCGCGAACCTCCCACCAAGTCCTGGTAACGCTGCCGCTGTTTGGTCGGGGACTGCTTATTCCACATATTCGCAGCTAACCACCATATCTGATGGCCATTCACTATCCGCCACCTGTGACCCCGTTGGTAGCCTACAGCTCAGCCGCAACATTACATACTATTACTGCTATTACTAAATATTTCACCTAATTTGACGTCATGGTACGATTTTAAACGGGACTGTTTAAGGCCTGCTCTTGAACTGCCCTGCGTAAGGATTGTTTCTTATTTGGTCATAGTAGCCTTCCAGATTTTTATAAGGTAGAAATTATGAATGCCTCGACATTATTACCGATATTTATTTAATACGCAATGACACACAATTGATAAAATATAGGTATTATTAGATGTAGTGGTATTGTACCAAAATGAATTTTTTTATTAACACACATTTCATAAAAGATAGTTCTATTTAAAATATTTACTTGTATGAATAAAAAAAATGTTTTTTTGTAGTTTAATACCGTAAAAATCATTATTATGTACGACAACCATCAAAATGGATTTTTCTGTTATTTAATTCAAAAACAGTAATTAAACTAAATATTTATATACCTAACATTAGTGTATATAAATATTTAGTATCTAGATACAATGATTTCTCTGACAATTGTTATTTCTCTTTTCTATTGGCCTTTGTATCGGGTACGAAATGGACCGGATTATCTTGTCAGTTTTATTTTAGATTTAATTATTTTTTCTATATTATATAAATAATAAATATTTAATATTATATTATATTAAATACTATGTAGTGAAACATGTCATTAAAAAAAGGGAAAGTTGATTATCAATAACAAAATATATGTAATCGATTATATCATATAATATAATCGATTACATATATAATATAATATCCTAGTAGAATAATCGTTTTTTTTAGAGGCTGTCAACTGTAATATAATATCCGATGTTTTTTTATAAAAAAATATTACCAACCAAATTTTGTTTTTTTGATGATTGACTGGAAGATGGTGTGGTGCCGTGCCAACGGTCGGCTGCTGTTTCGTTCCTAGTGGAATGCGATGGAATGAGGAATGGGTTAGTCATAACTAATTAATAAAACAAAAAATTAGTAATGGTTTTTAAAAAAAATTGGTAATTACTAATTTTTTGTTGATACCGCGTGGATTTTTAACTAGGGTATATCATTGATTGAAACAATTCCCCAATTTCAAATTCATTTACATTTTATTTATTAGCAAGCCATTTCCTTGTTTTTACTAAAAGATTATAAAATCGTGGATTAACACTTGAATAGTAACCGGTTATGGTACCTTGTCTAATGTATTCCCTTCTAAATCAACAATAACTATTCTAGATTGTAGGAGGCACAAATAATATATTTAGGAGGACCATTGAATAACTTTAATACTAATTGTAATTACAGTATTTTGAAAATTCTTCTAAACATAAGTTTGATAGTGTATTAGGTAGTAGGTTTGTAATGTAGTTATAAAAAATAAATGGTTTCACATACTTTCAATGTGGTAAAATTTATTAATACCTAATATGATGTAATATTGAATGTCAGACAAAATGTTAGCATTAGAAAAAAAAAACAGTTTTAATAACCATGGTTTTTATACAGCCATGTCTATCAGAGCTGATGTAATAATTTTGGTGGAGTAGCATTTCCTAGCTTAATGTTTTGTTTTGTTCCAGTTTTAACTTTTTGTTCCTCTCAAGTGAAATATTAACTTGTTTTTAAATTTGAAAATTATCATTAAGTACATAGTTTCGTTAGGTAGACACTGAATAAAATAACACATTTAATTCAAACATCATCTATAGTTGGCAACCAGAATGCCATATTTGTACATGCTGAAGCTAACATCATATATTTAGGATTGAATTGAACACACTGTATAGGTGCTGGATGATCTCCATTCAATACACACACTTTATAGCCTGTATCAGCATTCCAAACATGTACTCTGCCATCTGTTGATCCACTAAATATGTACTGTGAATCAGGACTAAATGATGCTTCAATAGGTATTCCTTTGTTATTAAGATGACCAGTGAATGTCTGAAGAGGTGTACCATGATAAGCGTCAACTAGACGGATGATTGATCCATTGGTACTGATCAACATTGTTTTACCATCACGAGAAAACTTCAGTCCTGTCCAATCACATTCTTTTTCTTGATTCAATTTGAATGTTACAAACGGACCTTTGTCAAATGAACGTAGATCGTATAACTTGATGCTCTCCGAGTTTACACCAGCAGCAAATATAAGACCTTCAGGGTCATATGCTGCCACTGGTCTTCCTGATAGATGCATTAATCCTTGACAATTTGGCGAACGAAGGTCCCATAATCGAAGTGTTTTATCCAAGGAACCTGACAAGAAGGTATCCACTACAGGTGACAGACATAGTGTTACTACTTTTTTTGTATGTCCTGGGAAATATCGAATGTATTTATTATCATGAAGTGACAAATATCGTATGGTGTCGTCAACTTTTGTGGAGCTGTGGATTGCAGTATTCTTGGCATGTGTAAAATGTATTAAGTCAACACCATATTTTTTGCTGTTTACTGTAATCACTTGTGTGCCTTTATCGCAGTCATAAATAACAATTTGATCATCTTCACTACACGAAATTAACGTTTCGCCACTAGGAGAAAAATCAATACTATTTATTTTATCTGTATTTTCCCGAAACACTTTGGCAACCTTAAAACTCCTAACAACTTGGTCTACTAATTTCATCATTAAGCAATCTTTTTGTAACTATAATAAAAATTATTTATTGTTACTTTTTTTTACTGTGCGATGCTTTACAATCACAAACACAGATTAGACAGACGCCGCACACTCAATCAATCTATACCACAGAAAGGTATACATACCAACCGCATCCGAATTTTCGTACAGGGATTTTTGCCTTTACTACCAGCATATTTGCATTCTCCTACACGTGGGGACGATATTTTGACCTACAAGAATCGACCAAAATACTAAGATAACAAATTGAGTTAAAGTACGAGATTTATTAGATTATTTATTTCTTCGCAAAAGGCTAAGTGTATTAAGGTTGGCAACTCTTATCACAGATAAGTTAGACCCACAGAAAAAACAAGTAGGCAAAAATAAAATTATAAAAAAATGAAGAACACTCGCCAATGTGCACACACTCTTGTCATCTACGGAGCGAACTAAATAAAAATAATTCCTTGGGTCATGAAACATCTGATTGTTTAAATTATTTAGTTAAGACTTCCTTTGTATTAAAAGTTTTGTAAAATGAAAATATGACATATTATGTACTCAGTAAAGTAAGATATTCCATACAAAACTCATGACTTACGTTGTTTTTTTTTATATTGGTGCAACGCATCGCACGTCTAGCTATCGATAGACATTTCGATTTTAATGTAAGTATAGAGTAGGTAATGTGACGTTCAATAAAAAGCGGCCTTATACATTTTTGTTTATTGAACGATATTATTTTTTGTAACAGTGTTTTCATTTGAATGAAAATAATATGAAATAGTACTTACCGATGATAAGACATTTACCTTTTGATACATTATTAGTTGCACTATATTTGCATTCCAAAATAGCACAATAATTTCGTTCAAAAAGATACAAATTATATTTGTATCTTTTAAACGGGTTTTGTGGGTTATAAAACGCCTATTTCATATGTTAGAACCTAATATTATAAATGTGAAAGTAGGGATGTCTGTTAGGCTTTCATGCAAAAACTACTGAACCGATCATCATAAAATTTTGTACAAATGTTCTTGGATGTATTAAAATGAACATAAGATACTTTTTATTAAAAATAGTAAATATTTTTTATTCAAAGCGAGCTGTTCCGTGGGTAAAAGCTAGTACTATATATTAATCGTCCGGTGAAGTTGTAAAAGCTAGCTTCGGCCAACAGCTTTGAGTCTGAAAAATAAAATCCCATACTATATCTAGATGTAGTGTAGTCTTGCGAAAAAATATATATAGAGGGGATCCGGGCCACGTCGTCGTCGTGTCGTGTGTACACGACAATGTTCTGCTGGTGGCGGTAGTGTAATGTAGCCGGGACAGGTACTTTGCCGTGGTCGATGTTGCAGCACGCAACAGTAATTTGGGTCCTGTAGGCGCAATGCCACAGTGATTCCGGTTGGCCCTATTTATGTCTATTATTCTATTCTTATTATATATTCGTATCTATTATTCTGTATTGTCATGGACTTCTTCATGTCTGCGTCAGTGGTTGTTTCGTTATCGTTGTCATGAGGATTAGTAACGTCCTGTCGTATTTTTATATATAATAGTTATGTAATAAGTCTTACCTTCACTCCAGTAGTTATGTACTATATGTACCTATTTTCAACTTGCGCATGAAGAATGCTGGGAACCGTCTCAATCTTATTTTATATAATTCCTTATAGAGATAACTCTACAAGGTCTAAATGGAGCACAAGGAAACAAGATGATCCATACCTCTGATTCTGATCTTAACATAAGTAGACCTGCTAATTCATGTCAGTGGTTTCCAATTCAAAATTGGCCTCCATACGATCCATAGATCTGAAAGATAACGCAGGTGATGTTGCAATTTGGTACATACTGGCAGCTTATATTGTTTTTATAGCAAAATAATATAATATGGTCAAAATTAAAATACTCTTTGTTGAAATTCCCGCTTCTTGTAAATGGAGATTATTATTTTATCTTGTTGTCAATTTAAAATATAGGTATGTAAATTGTAAATATATGCAGATAAATTATTGGAAAGAAATGCTATACGTTTTAGTTTTTTTTGCTAATACCATTAGAGTTTTATTCGTGGAAATATTAGTTTCTTTGCATAGATACACCGACACATACATACATAGATACACGACCACGGCGATCGAACGTAAATTTCGGAGGCCCATGTTTGTAATGTAGTGGGGTTGTTTAAATTATTGTATTTGTTGGCAACACTTCACCAGTTTACCGAATTGAAACAAAATGGACGTACGGAGTGTAATGGCGTTCTTCAGAATTCTTCAAACAGTGTGAAATATAACTGATTTAAACGTTGAATCTCTAATAATATATCATATAATTAGTATTAATTTTCTCTAATCTATTAAAATCGGTTTATTTAATAAGCTTATTACTTTATCTTTACTGAAGGTTTTGGATCAATCTTGAGTATGGTGTCCATTTTGTGAACAACCTTGTTGTGTGGCGTTTTCGGTAAGTTAATCTTATCTCAGTAGTATCTAATGTTTATTTCTTGTTTATATACATGTTTTTTTTATGTATATTACAGTTTATGGTTAATTTTGTAATATATCTGTCTGGTTAGCTCATGTTGCGGTATCTCCCATTGTTACATACTTTCTATATTCGGGAACTTAAAAAAACATCTACATTTCGTAGATATCATTTTTGTTTTTTGTAATGTAATTTATTGTTATAATATTGTATAAAACATATGTATACTAACACATTTCCTATAGTTTATAAGTTTATAAAACACGAATATGTATCAGGTCCTACAATTTTGTAATGTTCTGTTGTTAGAAGAGAGTTTTAATGTTTAATCTCGTAAGTGGGTTAAATATAAGATCTCAAATTTGATGACTAAAATTGCATGAACTTAGTAGTATTATTTACTTAATATTAATACCTAATTATTTTTTGTTGTCTTTGAAATAGCACATAAAATGTGACTATCATAGGACTCTTGTGTATAAAAAATATCTATGGCCTTATTAAAATTATTACTATTTATGTTTACTTTTACATTTACCCTTTGATGATTTAGCACTACCTGCGCTATTGACACTGTAAATTTAGGTAATTATGTTTACATCTACAAATTAAATTTTTTATTTCCGTCAATGATTTAAAATGACATGCGGAAGGCTATATAGCCTTATGGTACAACTATTAGGAGAGAGAGAGAGAGAGCTGCAATAACAATTGCATACTGAGGAATCTAATTGATTTAAAATTAAAAGTAAGTAACAAGATATTGATTTTAGAAATTATTATTGACATTTTTCTATACAAAATATTGTTACATGGATTGTCTGAATTTGCTTCATAATGAAATTATTGCATAGTTATATGTCCTTGCTACTATGAAAATAGAAAACACAGTTAAAGAGTTGAATAATAATAATAGGCTGGTGAAGGATAAGGTAATTAAAAAATAGATCATTTAGCATGGCTAATTCATCAGGAATGAACTATGATATTTTCACGAAATTTGAGTACATGTGCAATTGTTAAGCGTCATATAGAGTTTAAGGAATACTAATGTGTTAATTATCCAGAAAATGGGACTGTATTGCATAATTTAATTAACTTTATTATTAAATATTATGTTTCTATTCTTATTTATTACTTAACTAGGTGACAAAAATTTTATATCCATCATTATTGGCTGGAAATAAAAAACATTACTATGACATTTATAGGCTCCAGTTGTTTTATATACACTATGGAACTGACTATGAATACAAATACTTGAAACACATAAAATGAAGATACTTATATAATTATAGATATTAGATTTGGTCACTTTGTGGTGCATATGTATTTCCCCTGATATAAAAAAATAACTAGGGAGAGCCTAGAGATACTAAGGAGAGATTAAAGAAATGACAAAAACACACATTTGTTGCAAAACAGTGTATTTATTGTAATAATAATTGAAACATACACATTGTTCACATTCAACATACAATATACAATAATTTATTGATTAAATAACAATACCTACCACTTACAAGATAAACTTTTTAAACTATTGCCATAAACCAGTTTACTGGCAGTGTATTGAATAAGTACATCATTTTAATCACTTTTATGTGCAATGTTAATAACATTCTTTAGCACCAGTGTGTCAAATTGTCATTAAATAATATATTTTTACAAATAAATTATGTATAAAATATGTTTGAATTTGTATTTAAGTATATATTTGGATTAAAAAACCATTATGATATACTTATTAAAGATATTATATAAAATAAAAAAATTTAGTAATTAGGAGGGGACAGCGGAGTATACATTTATGAATACTTTGAAATTATTTAACATTAAAAGAGAGTATTCTTCATTACTTAAACATACAGTAACAATCATTATAGGTTAACATAACATTAAATTTGTCTGCAAACATCTGAATTCAAATACCTTATATTCACTCATTTACCAGATGTCTTTGTCCAGAAAAAATATGGCATAAAAGGTTTCATAAATGCTTTTTGGTTGCCAAAAAAAAATATATTGTAACATTTTTATCTGGTGGAAATCTATTTAAATTTTAAACATTTCGTAGAATATGTAAAAAAATAAAACAAGAATTTGTTAAAAAAAATTTCATCATGAACATGTTAGGCATGTAATGTTATAGTAACGAAAGTTTATTAAGATCACATCTTGCTGCTGATACATTCCAACATGTTCACACAGAGAGAAATTACACTGTGTTCTGTCTACCAAAGACATACATAACTTACAGTAATGACATTAAGAATATATAAAACATTTCTTTGCATTGGGTATTGAGAACATTATTAAAAGGAGCAAAATAAAATGAGTCAACATTTCAAGGGTGAATCTCACAAAAAAATGCATTTTTTTCTGTAATGGTTGAAACTTTCATCATATAATAAGCAATGATTATTGCCTAATTTCCTCATGATGTAGTAGAAATTCAAACTGTAAAATAACATTTACTAAATACATTGACTTAAATACATAGAAAATAAACCTTTTTATTTTAAATATAACTCTCACGTTTAATTTACATTAATATTAGTTTTGTATTATAAGGCAAGATGTGGAGACATGACATTAAAGTCCTCCAGAATGGCAATGCATGAGAAGTATGATGATAGTCTGGTTGAGGATTGCCAGCTTATTTGCCATTCTAAAGTCTCATAATCTAAGTTGCATAAAATATTATTAGTGTAATTTTTAGATTTCCATAATTGTTGTAATAATGATATATTTATCATATGTTTTGTAGATTTTAGCAGAAAATATAAATCATTAAATTAAGATGTTTGATTGTCTGTATTTTTGGATTGATTTGACAGGAAATGTGCATTAGGACTTGTTAATGAATATAAATAATAGGAAACATTTAGGATATGCCAGCCAGACATATGAATGATGAACACGAACCTTTTGTTTTCAGTACAACTTCAAGAAATTTGCTGTTTAACTGAACGGGAGAAGTTGTATCGCTTTATGTTGAAGTCTAATCATAAGCGTATAGCTTTTCCCCTTAGTTATACAGGCATAAGCTTCAATGAAAGTACAGAAGAATCTTCTAACTTTACTTGTATTAAGGGTATCATTTTGTTGATTATGTGACATTTTAATAATTACCTAAACAAACAGTTTAGGTAATTATTAGATTTCCTTCTATATCACAAACATATAATAATTATCGAATTATGACTTTCCTATTTTGTTTTATTTGTTAAGTGTTTTAGTAGTTTATCACATGTTCCACATATCATTTTTTATTATCATTTTCACTGTGATTGTCATTCTGAGACAGCATCATCTTAAAATATTAAATAAAGTTGTTTTATTTTATGAATATTTTTGGACATGTTTGATTCTGTACAAATGGATACATATATATATATATATATATATATGATTTCCACTATGTTTTGTCACCATTATACTGAATTGTCATAAATTATTCCCAGAAAATGCACTTTTTACATGAAGACAAAACATAATATACTTTGTCCTTATGAAGCTTAAGAATTAAAGAACCAATAGCTGAAATTCAGGATTATTTATGAAGTGTATTGAGAGTATGACAATCACAGGTTGTTATAATATACAATATATAACATACAATATATAATGCATAATATTATATTGTTGTATGTTATAATAAAATCGTAAACTCCATGTCTATATCTTTTATTTTAGAACCCTACTTATGGCACCATTAAAATTGAATTTTGAAAATGAAGTAACCCCTTTAAAATGTTTAAATAATTTGATACTTGTTTGTACTGATGTAATGATTCTACATTACATAAGTACAAAAAACAAATCTGCCCGTTTCATTGTTTTAATCTAATTGGTTTGGTTTCTAGAAGTGCTCAACATATAGATACGGCTCCTTTCCGATTTTAATATCTCGTTTCATTATACCCAATGTACTTCACATTTGAGATAAGTAGCGACAGTAATTTTTTTTTTTTTAAATAAATAGTTTTTTAATATTCCAGAATAAAATGGACACACCAATTTTTTGTTGTTCACTGCAACACAAAATAATCTTAATTCACTCGTAATTGAGTGATGGACTCATATAACTTATTTGGTGATGATGGAAGCGGTATGTTGGAAGGACTTACTGATCTTGGTGGAACAGACAGCTTTGCTGGTGGCTCATCATCTTCAGTAGCTGATAATAAGGATGCTACAGAAAACAGGTGTTTAATATTACGAATTCTTCCTAATATTATAAACGAGATATTTTTTGAGTATGGATGATAGATGGATGCATGTTTGTTACTCTTTCACGCAAAAACTACTGAACGGATTTTTAGCTTATACGTCACATACACTATCTCTCAGCTATTCCGAGGTCCAAACGCAGTTTGTAAGTCAGTCTCCTCTTATAAGAAAATAATCAGATATTTAGTAACATACATCGAATACAGTTTATACAACAATCTCCCTTTATGGCCTAATAGTAAACAAAAGGTAAAAATATGTTCATTCTATTATATTACAAAAAATAACTATGTGTAGTTTTTTTTTGTGTAGTTAAAAACTCTGATTACTTTGGCTATTGATAGCTCTGTGAGATAGATATGTCCACGGTTGTTAATGTTACATTACTGTAGATTTATTTTTCAATCGTATTTATATATATATATTTTTTTTAGTTATAGGCAGACATACAACCAAGGTGGTGTAACGCAAGAAGCTTCAATTCAGAAACTAGCCACATTTGGCGGGAGTTCTGGTAGCATACCTAATAGTGCCCAACCAGGTCCACCACCAGGAGCTGGACCGCCAGGTCCAGAATATCATGATTATGGCAATTATCCTCCTCGCCCTCGGTTACCTCAGCCGCCACATGCACCACTACATCCATCACATCATGTACATCCTTCACACTCGTATCCTGGATATCATCCTGGACCAGACCCAATGTACACTATGCCTGAACAAACAGGTATATATATATATATATATGTATGTCCAGTATATTTAATGAAAGTTAATCTAATTTTTGTGTTTATTAAAAATATTGTATGATAACAGGTATTGGGGATATGGGTGTGTGGTCTGGTGCACCAGGAGGTAATAGATACGCTCCGATCGCGGGCTACAGACATTCTTATGAACACCAGCAAAAGATACATCAATACACTCCACAACAGGTAAAGTGTTCATTACTTAATGGATTTATGTTATATTATTTAATTCAGCTACAATTAGCATGTGTGAGATCACAAATAGTCGGTGTGGAAACTTGACCACCATTAGGACCTTCTGTAAAGGCGATTTCGAATTCCGACCGTTATTGAGTCTACAAAGTGTTTCGTCTCTGAACGAGGCATCATCAGGCATTGAATAGAGTTCGGATATAGCTTATAAGCCTAGTGTTGAACAGCAATTGTTGATGTATATACATGTGTAACTGCAATTATTGTTCGTTTGTCTCGCCAAAACTAACGTCGATTACTATATTATTATATTTTGTATATAGATAGTTTATTCCTTACATATTTCTTTTTTTTATGTTAGTGTTGTGTATTCTACTAATTTTCACAATAAATTCTATTCTAAATTACCAGAAAGCAACTGCCTATTACTTCTATGGAGATCATCAACGGACTTATGCTATGTATATATATTAATTATTCTTTTCAATTAGTCAGTCTTTATAAGGGGTCCCAGAACTCAACAAGCCGCAACGGAGTGACATGATTCATTGTAACCATCATGAGAAAAATCTGAAAAATATCTAACCCATTTAAGAAAAACCTAGAAATTTGGTCAAACTGTAACCATTTATCTGTTATTTGGGTTAATTTTTATTATTTTTGTTCATTTAGACTTTGAAACCGTGACTGTACATAAATAACATTAGAACCATAGTCAAAAATAAAGACACATATGCCCCAAGTTTTCTAGTATTAAGACTGTTAAACCATGAAATTTCAAATTTTCAAAATTTATCGACTTTGAAAGTTTCCTTTAAAATTCCTTTAAAAAAAGTGTACTATAAAGAACCTTGGAAAGTGCCATGAAAAGTTCGCGCATTTAATGAGGATTGTAAAATGCGAACTGCCATGAATATGGCTTTTACCCTCAGGTAAAGGCCTCCTCCATTTTCCGCCGATTTCCGAAAAAATAATAAAAATAAACCAAAAGTATAATGTTTGAAATATATTATGTGGAAGTTAAAGCTATAATAATAATAATAATAAAAAATATTATATTATATCTACGTATATGTGTGTGTATTTCAGAGTTCTGGTATAGGCGGTCTTCAGGCACAGAATGGAACATATTTACCGCGGCAGCCTCATTTCTCCCAGCCTACGTCACAACAAATTTATGGACAACAACAGGTAATTATTATATTATACAAGCTTAACAGTTTTTTGCACAACTGACAACATTTGGTCCATTTATGATAGCGATGAAAGGGATTTACGAGGGACGAGGGCTACTAAGTTCGCGGCCTAAGGCACTTAACGATGACTAATCATCTCGCTAATATAACGATATTAGCGATAACTGATAGCGGGAAACATTGTTAGTATAAATAGAGGGTATTTTTCATTTTGGTTCATAAAAACTTTACCTGTGAAACAAGTAACAACACGATGTCAATAGGAACTGGAAATTCGTGCAATTTGGAGCATCGCGCCGCGATTAAGTTCCTCGCTAAAAAAGGAAAAACACTGAAAGAAAATTTTAAAGAGATGTCGTCAGTTCTTCAGGATTCTTCACCTTCATACACGATGGTTAAAAAATGGGCTCGGTTATTTCAACAAGGCAGAGATACGTCAAAACGATAGCCCTGTGACGGTCTTGACCAAAAACGTCAAAAATGTGTAAAAAATAGATCTAGTCGATCGTAGAATTAAACTGTGGCAGATAGCTGAAGAGTTACAGATAAGCAAAAAACGAGTTGGAGATATTTTGCACAATCATTTGCACATGAAAAAAATTTGTGCGCGTTGGGTACCGCAAATGCTCAAACCGCTCGACAAGCAGCGACGGATAGAGAGCTGTAAAGATTATTTGGAATTGTCAGCCCGATTTGGATGATATCTGTAATCGTATTGTGACTGTCGATGAAACGTGGATCCGTCAATACGATCTAGAGTCCAAACAAGAGTCAATGCCATGGATAAAAAAGGGAGAAAGGCCACCAAAGAAGTTCAAAGTGGAAAAGTCGGCATCCAAGCTCATGGCTTCCATTTTCTGGGATAGCGATAGAATTTTATAATTAATTACTTAATAACTAAAATATGCTAATTTACTGGCTCAGGCCCATGAGATAATCGTTGAGAAAAGACGTGGGAATTTGGCGCGTGGGGTGCTCTTTCTGCAACGCACCCGTTCACACGGCTCGGGTTCCGAAGGATGCCTTAAAATTCACGGGATTTGGAGAAATTGACCAACCTTCCTTATTTCAAATTTAAAAATGAAGCTATGAAGACGAAGATTTTCGGATGACAATGAGATGAAGGCGGCCGTAGATAGTCATTTTGAGAAGAAAGTTAAAGGATATTTATTTGCCGATATCAAAGCACTATATTCACGTTGTGAAAAGCGTATGTATTGAAAAATAAAATACATAAAGTTATAATTTTTCATTAACTAAGGCCGCGAATTTATTAGCCGCCCTTCGTATGTATATTTTAAGTGAACAAAATTAAAATTATTTCCTTATTAAAAAAAATAAATCTGATATTTATCAACTGTAAAATCTGAAATTATAATTATACTATTATAATTCTTTATAAAGAATAGTAGAAATGTTTTAATTAGCACATTTTTTTATCTATACTGGATTACTTTTTATCATTTGTAAACATATATGGTTTAATACATACGTGATCTGAATGTTAAAGAAGTAATCTGGTAAGAAGTATATATATATATATATACCACAGGCTATATTTTATAATGAAATTAAATGGGAGAAACCGCGGGCACAGCTAGTGTTTACAATATTTGTTAAAAAAAACTCTAGTTTGTGAGACAAATTCTCACTTTATCGTTTTTTTTTTCATTTCAGAATTATCCTAATTATACGCAAATGCATCCCCCAGCAGCATCGCGTATAGGTCAACATCCTACTTACCACCAACAAATGGAAGTAAATCCTCATCAATATGGAATGCCTCATGGTCAACAAAGTCATACTTCGTTGCCTCAACATCAACCACACCAAAATATGGCTAGCCATGCAAGTGGTTTGGGTCCTGGCATCCAGAATCATCCAAATGTTCATCTTCATCATCCTAGTGCAGCTCCTCTTCATCATGTGCCGCGTCAACCTCCAGTACCACCTTCTTCTGTGGCTCCCTCACACCCAGTCCCTTCAAACATACCTTATGCATCACCTCATCATTCCGTTCCAATGAATTACCAACCTCATCAGGTTCAACATCCTTTAGATGTTAATGTTACAAATCAATATAATCCAGTGAAACCTACTGGTATAGAAACTGGAAGCCCCCAGTATCGTCCAGCATTTCCACAATTATCGCCTCAAATGTCGCCACGAGCGCAAATGTCTCCACGACAGCAACAAGCACCGCAGTTGTCTCCAAGACCTGTAATGTCACCAGTGAAAGGACCTAGTGCATCTCCTCATGCATCTCGCAATGTGGTTCAGACGTCATCCGCAACTGGTCCTTCATCCACGGCGGGCTCATTTACATCTCAGAATACTTTACAAGCTTTAGAACAAATGGTTTTACCTACCGGCACAGAGTATCCATTTCAACGGAATCCTTCACCAGCTATCAGTCATATAGTTTCTTCTCCCTCACAATGGGGTCAAACAAAAATAGCCACTTTAGGTAATATTACACCAATGGAGAGCAGTGATCAAACTACAAAGCCTCCAGAGCCTAATTCCTCTATTCCGCCTGTATTAAAATCTGAACTGGTGAATAAAAGTATTCCAGTTTCCTCATCAAATGTTGAAGTTAAAAACATAGAAAAGACAGAAAACGAACATGAAAGACCGTCTGATAATTTAAGTTCGCCCTCGTTTAAACAACCAACTGCCATGACTAATATTTCAAAGGATAGCATATCCGGTAGTTCTATGACTACTAATTTAAATTCATCTTGCGTTCCCACTGAAGAACCGGATGCGCAGGATAAATTACCTCATACAAATCAAGTTAAAGAAATAATTACCGAATTAAAAGAAGAAGAAAAAATAGAAAAGAATTCTGATGTTCTTCAAAAAAATGATCAAACACAAGAGACTAAACAATATTCTAATGAGACTGTAAATAAACCAACTAATGTTGAAACTTCAATTACTCAAGGACTATCATTACCACCTTCGTCAATGAAAAATGTAGTTAATCCCGTTACTGATTCTTCTCAACTAAATGTCTCACATCACATGAACGTGCCAATGCATCCTCCGCCTTTAAGTGGTACAACGAATTCTGCGAATCAGTACGATAACATAACAAATTTAAATGTCAGTCGAAATCAAAATTATCCAGCTAATAATGTGCAAAATGCTTCAACTAATTTGCCGAATATATTACCACCGACTCTTCCGTCAAATTTGCAGTCTAATACAAATTCTATTCCTTCAACTTTTGAAAGTGGAACTACTGCTGTAACCCAATCTGTACCTAACGGGCAACAAAATCATTCTATTCAACCCGGAAATTTATCAAATCCTGTGACTTCAAGTTTACCGGTTCATAATCAACAGAATAATTTAAGTTGTATACCGTCAGTCATGCCTAGTATGCAGACAAATATTCAACCACCAACAATGTCTAATGTACCCAGTAATATGTCTATCGTTCCACCAAATACGTCTACAAATATACCTAATGTGCCAGTAGGAATGTCTCTTAATGTCCCAACCATACATTCCAATATGGGACCTTCGATCCAGACAATCCCAAACATACCCCATAACATGCCTCATAATCCAAATATAATTATTATGGGAACAAATACTATGCCGCACCCTAACATGCCCGGTATGTATCCCGCATCACATCACCAAGAAAGATTATCTTTACAGCAACAGATTCAAGAAATTTATTGTTTACCACCGTCGACTGAAAATCAGGAAAAAGTTCGATGTTTACAAGAAAGATTAGCTTTATTACAGCAACACGAAACAAATGACAAGTGTAATGGTAGTCCTAATTGTCTATTACAAAATCCTCTTTATGGTTCAAAAATGGTTGAAAGTCCACAAGTAACCAGTACAACCGGACGTGGGAGAGGTAAGGGTCCTACAAAACCAAGAAAACCAAGAGTAAAGAAGGAAAAGAATATAAGCATGGCTCCTCTAGATCAATTGCCTGTTTCCGAAGATTGTGTAACAGCTGGTACGGGACTGCAAAGCAATTCGGAACTGGACATAGAGTTAAATGAAGAAATTGCAAATCTTGATAGTAGTGCTTTATCAGTAAATGCTCTTAGTAGCGGAAAAATTAAAAAACCAAGAGGTCCTCGAAAGAATAAGGAAAGAAAACCTCGAACACCTAAAGAACCCAAGCCCACTAAACTGACAGAAGATAAACCAGTGAAACAGCGAAAGAAACGGGAACCCAAAGATCCTAACGCTCCGAAACGTAGAAGAAATATAAAAAAAGATGCACCTGAAATTCTGGCAGATACAACAACGAGTTATGATTTGTTAGAAAAAAATAATGTTGACAATAATTCAAGTGAAATCTCTGTGAACAAAAATATTAACACCAATGTCACTAAAACTAATACAACTTCAGAATTGCCAGGTTTAGATGAAAGTATAGTTACAGATTTTGATGACATACCTGTTTCTAAAATTGCAATCAAAGATTTATTAGAAGAAGCAGAGGCAAAAAGAGAATGTGAAAAAGATGAGGAGGCTGATTCTATGAATCAAAAGAAACGTTCAACGAAAAAACGGGCTTCATCGGGCGGCAGCTGTAAAAAAATGTCGATAAGAAAAACGCCTGGTGGTCGTAAAAAGAAGCGTGGTGGATTAATTCCGGATTCTGATGGTGAACCCGATGATATGATGTCCACTCCTCCGCCGTCTCCACCGCCGGAGGGAGATGACAGTTTAAAAAGACGTTCGGCTCGAAATACTCAGCGTAAAAAATATACCGATGATGTTATGTTACGATTATCAGACGATGAGTTTACAATTACAACTCCCAGAATCGAAAAAGATTTTAAGCCAGACGAATTATCTGCTGAAACCAAAGAAAATATTAAACTTGAGGGCACACCTAAGCCTAATTATATGTATGTGAATACCACTGAAGAGGATTCTATGATAGTTCAACATGTCTTGGCATGCCGAATGGGAAAAAGAGAATTAAAAATAGATCTTAGTAGTGACGTAGTGCCAATAATTGAAAAAGAGGAGGCGACAGTGATTACGGACGAGAAATCTCCATCGTCCAGTCAGCCCTCAGTCGTTGTTAATGATAGTAATGAAGTTTCTGTTCAGGAAACAGCAACGTTATCAGAGCCAAAAGAAAAAGATGAGTCTGAAGTCTTAGATGAAACATCCAAACAGATTAATATTAAACCAAGTAATACGGCGGATAAAGAAAATGCTGAGTCAAAAAACAAGAAACCTGTTATGATTGATGTTGAGGAATATTTTGTTAAATACAGAAACTTTTCATATTTACACTGTGAATGGAAAACGGAAGAAGAATTATACAAAGGTGACAAAAGAATATTCTCAAAAATAAAACGATTTAAACAAAAACAAGCTCAACAAATGAATATATTTGAACTTTTTGATGACGAGCCATTTAATCCTGATTATATTGAAGTGGAGAGGATTCTAGATATGTCGGAAAACCAAGACCCTGCGAATAATACAGTGGTTAAACATTATTTAGTAAAGTGGAAAAGTTTACAATATGAAGATAGTACATGGGAGCTGGAAGAAGACATAGACGTTGACAAAATAAAGCAATTTAAACTATTTACCGAAATACCACCCAAAGAGAAATGGAAATTTAAGAAAAGGCCATCTGCTGATCATTGGGTACAACTTAAGGAATCACCTTTATATAAAGGTGGTAACACACTAAGACCTTATCAACTAGAAGGACTCAATTGGTTGCTATTTTCTTGGCATAACAACCGCAATTGTATCTTAGCAGATGAAATGGGACTTGGTAAAACTATACAAAGTTTAACATTTGTTAATTCTACTTGGGAGTATGGTATCAGAGGTCCCTTTCTTATTATAGCTCCGTTGTCGACTATACCTAACTGGCAAAGGGAATTTGAAGCATGGACAGAAATGAATGTTGTTGTATACCACGGTTCACAGCAAAGTAAAAGTATGTTACAAGAATATGAATTTTATTATAAAAATGAAGATGGGGAACCAATTAAAGAAATAACAAAGTTCAATGTCCTTATTACGACTTTTGAAATAATTGTCACTGATTTCCAAGAGCTTAAATCGTTTAACTGGCGGATTTGTGTTATAGATGAGGCTCATAGACTAAAAAATCGTAACTGTAAATTATTAGAAGGCTTGAGACAGCTTCATTTGGAACATAGAGTTTTGTTATCTGGAACACCTTTACAGAATAATGTAAACGAATTATTTTCATTGCTTAACTTTTTGGAACCTTCTCAGTTTTCTAGCAGTGATGCTTTTCTTAATGAATTTGGTCAATTGAAAACTGAATCAGAAGTGTTAAAATTACAGGCTTTATTAAAGCCAATGATGTTAAGAAGACTAAAAGAAGATGTTGAGAAAACGTTAGCACCTAAAGAGGAAACAATAATTGAAGTTGAATTAACTAATATTCAGAAAAAATATTATAGGGCAATATTAGAAAGAAATTTTAGTTTTTTGCAAAAAGGAACTGCATCGGCTGCAAATATTCCCAATTTAATGAATACCATGATGGAACTTAGAAAGTGTTGTATTCATCCATATTTGCTTAATGGTGCGGAAGATCAGATTCAATTTGATTACAAGCAAACTTATGGAGAAGATAAAGAAGCTTACTATAAAGCTCTTATACAATCTTCGGGTAAAATGGTTTTAGTTGACAAATTATTGCCTAAATTAAAAGCTGGTGGTCATAGAGTTTTAATATTTAGCCAAATGGTTAGATGTCTCGATATATTAGAAGATTATTTGTTGTTTCGAAAATATCCTTTTGAAAGAATTGACGGCCGCATTAGAGGTAACCTACGGCAAGAAGCTATTGATAGGTTCTCTAAACCAGATTCAGATAGATTTGTGTTTTTGTTATGCACTAAAGCTGGAGGTTTAGGGATAAATCTAACTGCTGCGGATACTGTTATAATATATGACAGTGATTGGAATCCTCAGAATGATTTACAAGCTCAAGCTCGTTGTCACCGCATTGGTCAACAAAAAATGGTTAAAATTTATAGGTTAATATGTCGTAACACTTATGAAAGAGAAATGTTTGATAAAGCTTCTTTAAAGCTGGGCCTTGACAAAGCGATATTGCAAAGTATGAATACAACACAAGGAAAAGAGACAGGCCTTAAGCAACTGTCAAAGAAAGAAATAGAAGACTTGTTAAAAAAGGGCGCATATGGAGCTGTAATGGATGAGGACAATGCTGGTGACAAATTTTGTGAAGAAGACATAGAGATGATATTGGCTCGTAGAACTCAAGTTATTCAAATGGAGTCCGAAAAAGGTTCTACATTTTCAAAAGCAAGTTTTGCTGCTACTGACCAAAGGTCAGATATTGATATTAGAGATCCTGATTTTTGGAACAAGTGGGCTAAAAAGGCCGAAATAGACACAACGGAAAAAAAAGAGGATGAAGATTTGATCGTTACTGAACCTCGAAAACGAACTGTTATTAAACGATATGGTCATGATGATGGACCTATGGAAATGTCAGATATGGAAGTGACCCCAGATTCCGACGAGGATGAAGAAGGTAAACATTTCAGTTAATCAGTCAGTACTTACCCCAAATCATACGATAAACCACTTTCGTCCGACTTTGATGTTGCCGCGACATAATTATTATATATTTCATGTAACAGATTCAGGCGTCGCACTGTCAAATGTTCTTGTCTTCTAAGTTTTAATTATTAAAAAAAGGTAGATTCACTTTTAAGCGAGTATAGTTATACTTGTATAATAATGGATGAAAAGTATTAAAATAACTTATTTTTACATACATTTAAAAAAAAGTTGTGTTACCTATGGCAAATGACTAACATTATGATCTTGTTATGTAACTAATTGTAATGTGTAGCAAGTCAGTTATTGCGAGTCCTGTTATATTACTGATTTTTACGCACATACCTTAGCGATACCTGATACTTTGTTGTGCTTATCGGCCTGTACTATGCACAGCAAAATTGTCTGAATTAATATAATCTTGAATAAAATATAATCCTTTTGTTTGTGTAGTAGTCATATTATAATATTATTTCAACAGAATTCGTAGACTATGATGTTAACATATATTATAATTAATAACATAAATAGGAATTGATCTTAAAAGTTGCTATTTTCCTATTTGTAGGTATAAGTTTGCGAAGCAAACGTAAAAAGGAAAAATTCGGCAGAAAAGGTAGAAGATATGCAAGTGATGACTATATTCCGCGACATGAAGGCGTTTTTGTTGATGAAGAAGTTGTATATGGATCGTGGACTAGATCAGAATGCTTCAAAATTGAAAGAGGACTGCTCACTTTTGGGTAATATACTCTTTATATTATGATCATAATTACATAGTATAAAATAAAGTCGCTGTCGCTGTGTGTCCCTGTGTATGCTTAAAACTTTAAAACTATGCAACAGATTATGAACCTGTTTTTTTAAATAGATAGAGTGATTCTAGAAGGTCTATATATATACAATACATGTTCACCCGGGCGAAGCCGGGACGGGTAGCTAGTTGTACATATAATCAAAACTACCAAAATTTTGAACTCTGTCCTTCTGAATTTTGTGAATTTTTCGAGTATGAAAAAGAAAAGATGTCCAAGGAAGAACAGAAATTTCATCTGAAGGATTATAAGCATAAAAGGAGAGTAAACTCCTATATATGGCCTGATAGAGATTGTGGAAAAACAAAATGCAATGATGAGAAATGAAAGCAAAGCAATGATGATAAAAGAAATAAAACCTTAATGTCTTAACCGCGTAATTTGTACGACCTTTTTTTTACAGTTGGGCGAGATGGGAAGAAATTATCGATAAAAATCAATTCCGAAAAGGGTGGACGCTGCCTGTCATTGAAGATTGTGCGCGTATTATAGTAAGTGTCTTACTATAGGACGAATAGGCATGATGACACTATCAAAGAATGTCCGGAAACAGGATTTTATGTAATTTTATATGATAGGCTGATTCATGTTTAAACATTTATTTTCAGATTACAAGCGAGATTATATTTATTTTAGTAAAAATAAAAATGCAAAACATCAATCCACCATGATAGATCGAACACCAATCAGTAGCGTGTTACGTCACACATTCGTAAACAAAATCGGTGTTGTCAATTTAACATATTTTATGCTAGATTTGGCATACCTTTACGTTTTTTAGGATATTTGTTGTTTGTTCAAGTCTCCGTTTATAGGCTATGTGCAACAGCATCTTTTCACTTCCTTTTTCTTATACAAAAATATGTGAGATAGAAATCAGACTACAATATCGCATACATACTGTAATTTGAATTGAAAGAAAGTTTTTACAGTCTATAAAATTTTACGAGTAATAAAGTGCTTGATAGTAGTTAATATGCCACCTAAATTAACTAAAGTCAGCATTACCGATTAGAGTGGGAGGAAATCTAACATTTCCTCCCATATTTATTTTGTTCGATAACATAATTGAATAAAACATAAAATAAAATAGATTTTATTGATTTTAAAAATATAATTAAAACCTTTTACTTTAATTTTGGCAAAATTTTAATAACAGTTTAGCAATTTTTTTTATCGTCGTGTTGGCAACGCTGTACATAGTAAGTACTACACGAAATTCTCACAAAGTTGTTTTGCGTTATTTGTAACCTAAATAACTTCTTCGGCATTTTTATTATTGTATTAGTACATTGAGGGACCGCACACCATCGATACACATTGGGATTCATGATTATTGCGCTTCAATCTTCAAAAATTTTCAACAAACACACGTATAACTCTACTATAAGTTGTCACTTGTCAAGTGTTTACGAATGGTTGACGTCACAGGCGACGCCATTGCTATTCTAGCAGTTTAGTCTAGTTTTTGCGCGAAATCTAAATTGTATTTTTTAAAAAGCAATTTTTCTATCAAACACTTAAGGTTTTTTAAAAATAAGATTTATTTTGTATAAAGATAGAATGTAAGAACATCGTGGAATGTTTTTTACAAATCAGTCATCATGCATATTCATGAGACGGGATGGTAAGAGCAATGGCTAGCTCGTCTCATCCTTCGAATTAATCACTATATAAATCAATTTAAGAGAAACGTGCGTTTTGAAATTCTAAAGGGAATCAAGTTGCGTTATTATGGCAATGTCAAAATATTTAAGTCGTCGATTTAGCACACCTATATGCCTAATGGTCGGGGTTTCGATTTCATGAGTTAGTTTGTATTTATGAGTAAAATTATTTCTAATACTCCCAAGTATTGTTTTCTATAGCCTTCACCAAAAATATTTGCCACCTTATAACAATTCAAACAACTTAAAAATAATTAAAAATCTTAGACTGAATAAAACTTCTGTATGTATGTGTTATGGAGTATACAAAACTTTTAATACTAAAATTATATTAATAATTGTTTTAAAATCTTTTGCTTTAATTACAGTATTTACTCTTTTGGGTAAAGTGGAAATTAAATTTTGATATTGTTCTGGAGTTATGGCATTCCACTCCCGTATCAAACAATTTTTTAAAGTTTTGTTAGAATTAGTTGAATGATCCTTAACTTGCGCTTTAAAATCCATCATAAATGTTCGATAGAGTTAATATCTGGAGACGAAGTAGACAACTTAGAAGCTTTATACAATTTTTCTCAAACCGAATCCAGTTGGTTCATACACGACCATTTTTCCATTTCCTGAGGCAGACATGCAGCCCTAGACTGTGCTAAATTTGGGATTAAATCGCGCTGTGTGAATTATTTAGAGTTATTATTATTCAATTTAATCAAACTTTTTTTTATTAAATCAAATAAATCTTATAAAAAATGGTTCACATATCCAACGCAAATTCTGATAATTGCAACTTGATATATTATGATGTTTTTCTATGCTGTTTTTCAACGATAACATGATTTCTTATTTTAAGTATTATAGCTCTTTTTCCGTGTCCGTAATGCCCATAGAATACTAACATTTGCATACATGAGTATTTTATGATGATTAGCCATGCTAATACCGAGAAAGTTCTAGACTTTCACTGAGTTCAATATATAATACTGATATATTTCGCCCGATTTTATAATATATTAGTGTAATTGTAAGGAAGTAAGATGAATATATGTATCTGTTATTACAGGTACTTTATTGTTTGCGTCATTATAAAGGTGATGAAAAGATAAGAAATTTTATATGGGATTTGATTGAACCTTGCGAAAATGGAGAGGTAACTATCTCTAGAAATCACAGTGGACTTCATAATCCAGTACCTAGAGGAAGAAATGCTAAAAAGAAGAACAAACCAAAAGATACGCCTAAACTCAATGATACCCAGAAATGGGAAGATTCTAATCATTGGAGTTCAACGGAAAAATACGATTGTGAAGCATACTTAGAAAGTAGCTATAAAAAGCATTTATTCAGACATGCTAATAAGTGAGTATTAAAATTAAATTATTTTTACAGAACAAAATATACTTGTTGTATTTCTATACACTTTTTGACTCACTCTATGCTTTTCTGTCCGACATTTTCCTTCCTTCACCATGTTGGTCCAGCCCCTGCCCTTATATCGTCCTCAAACTTATTTTTTATCTCCTCGTTTCGTTTTCCGTCTTTTGAGTACCAATCCAAAACATTATTGGTCCTTTTCCCATTTTTTACTTCTAATTACGTGTTCTGTTTATTTCTTTATCAGTCTGATTAATTTTGAGATATTTTGTCTTAAGTATGTGTAGTAGTCAACATATTCGATAATGTTAACTTTTATTGAAATAAAAGATAACAACATTGATGTTATTTATCTTTTATACCTATAGGTTGATGTTTTGACATTACTTTGATTTTGGTAGTGTTAGGAATTAACCCTACTTTTTTACTCTCCATAGTTTTTCTAAAAAAGATTTTAGGTTCGTTTAGTAATGAAATAGTATATGTATATGTATTATGTCTATAGATTAAATAATTAGCCTTTTTATGTTCATTCAATATCCATTCTAGTCTAGAACGAGTTATCGTAGGACATCTTTAATATTTATTATTATATTTACAGAGTCCTGCTACGAGTGCGTATGATGTATTATATCAAGCACGAAGTAATAGGAGACTATGCCACTCAAATAGAAAGTGGAATACATGCAAGGTAATTTTACTTCGAGGCATTCTACTCTCATGTTCATAACCTATAGGGTGTTTTATTTTTTGGGCTAATATGCCGAAGACAGTAGCATTAAACATTATTTAATGCTACTGTTTTCGGCATATTAGCCCTTAATTAAAAGTATGGTCTTAGCTGTTATCATTTTATGCCGTAACCTATTAAATTTAAATATACCACAGACACAAAAAGTTGGCCACTCGAAAACTAATTAAAACGGAATCAAATAAGGGCTCTTTTTTCTTTTAATATAGTTTTAGCCATGGAATAAACACTTTTTTATTTTACGATTGATAGCTTTGATGATTTATCTTCTACCTCCTGCCTGAATAAGCCCAAGTCCCAAGCTAAGGAGAGCTTTTGTTATGGGTACTAGATAACTGATACAAATACATAGATAATTTTTTTTTCTTAAATACATACATAATATACATAGAAAACACCCAGACCGATACAAACAATCATACTCATGAATAGAAATGTTTGTGCCGTGCGAGGAATCGAACCCGCGACCATCGGACGTAAAGCGGTGTGCTAGACCGCTAGACCACCGAGGTCGTCAAAATTACTTTAATATATATACAGTCAACCCACCAATAACGCGGTACTCTCAGAACGCGGTTTCCATATAACGCGGAGCTGAAATTGCGACAGCCCTCCTATAACGCGGTACTCTTACAGCGCGGTTTCCGTTCAACAACGTCCCATCAGTTCTTTCCGTGCACCCAATGAATGGTTTTAACTGGATATGTTTATATCAGCGTGGTTCACGGGTGGGGCTCCTCATGCGCTATCTTCCACTTCTATTAACTAAATAGTTTCGCATCGACAGCGTGCCATGCGTGTGTGTGTCTAACGAAACTGTAACATGAAAGATATATATGTGATCTTTTGACTACATTGTCGCGTGAACTATAGAAAAACTATAGCTTATGTCTTAGCCGCTTAAAACCAATGTGAAGATCAACCAAGTGAGGAAGACATTTTGCCCATTAAAAGAAGGCGAGTTAGGCGACTCATATCTGACAGTGAGGATGAGTGTTGAAAGATTACATCATTTTACAAAAGTCTTTCTTTTGTTTTTGTTGGAAAACAGTTTTTTAGTTTAGTTTTTGTTTCATTTTTTTCATCATTTCCTTATTTTTATTGAATTGAAGAGTTCATACTCTTCAATTCAATAAAAATAATTAATAATTTATCTTGTCTTTTGTATTTATTGGTGTCCATATAACGCGGTACGAATGATGTGATTTGTACTTATTCTGAGTCTCTTGTAGCGCGGTTTCCATACAACGCGGTAGACGGTTTCCATAGAACGCGCTACGAATTAACCTGGTTTGTACGGTTAAATCCGAGTTTCTTATAGCGCGGTTTCCATACAACGCGGTACGCACTCACCGCGTTATAGGAGGGTTGACTGTATATATTTTAAATACATGTATCACCCAGACCATGAAATGTATCAACCTATACCACTGAAACTGTCGAAATAAATAAGTAGCACCAGTATGAAACGAACGAATTGATGAACAATTCGTTCATGTATGCACATGCCCCTGCAACCTCAAAGCAGGCATTTATAGAGTAACTACGGAGTTATTATGTTATGAGTTTTAATAAGTTTATTTGGCAGGTAATCATAGTGATGTACTATTAGCAATTTAGTATATTTTCTATAATAATAAGGGTTATTTGTTTGTATAGTGTTTTAGGAATGCGTGTACCTAGAGGAGTTGACAGTACCCCACCTAGGCTGTGGTGGGATACAGAATGTGACGTATCTCTATTAGTGGGCACATACATACACGGTTATGAGAACTATTTGGCAATGCGCTCAGACCCACAGCTATGCTTTGTAGATAAGTTGGGTCCACCAGATGATGCTGAGTGTACTGATATAAAGTAAGTTATATTACACATTTATTCATATAGAATCCTATCAATTTATTCAGACAATATTTAATGAAGATCATAACTGGCGTCTATTTTGTGATTATATAACAGTATAAGGATTTTTAACATACTATAAACTCTGATCCTGTGTTGTTTTAGTAACACCCTACAAAAAACACGTTAAGATGTCTCTGTTCCGTGTATACTGTATAGTTTGGAAAATTTAAATAAAAATCATATAGTCTAGTATAATCATTCTTATTTTTTAGAAGTGAAGAGAGGAAGGTTAGAGGTAGTGTCGTAGGAGACGAAGACTGCACGGATGACGTATCTAGTGGAGCTGGCGCCACGTCGCCCACTGCTTCGCCGCGGCCTGACGACGACAGCACGCAGGGCAGCAGCGGTGGCCACCTCTGGCCATCCATGCAAGACTTGAACACGAGACTTCGCCGGCTTATTACAGCATACCAGCGAAATTATAAACGAGAAGAACTCAAATTGCAGCAACGAGCTAAAGTATGAAGCTGTCAAAAATATGTTAAATTGTGCTTGTAACGTCTCTATTTAATAGTTCTTAACCGACTTCAATATTGTGTGGAGCATAATAGTAAAGTATTTATCGAATAGTATACTAGCTGAGCTTGTACACTACGAAAAGTAATATTTCAAAATTACACATTACATTCTTTATTTACCAGACCAGAAATTACTACTCCCCATTACCAATATTCGCTCCCAAGTTGTGGGGATAGTGGCCTCATTGCTAACAATACCCCTTATAAGCTCAATTTCCATGTATGTAAACATCCCCATACACATACTCGCTGTAAACCAAAGGTTGGTGGTTCATTCCTAGGTATTTCACAGGAATCCATTATACATTTCTTCATGTACAGATCATACAGTTGGTGCGTTTTTGACAATTATATCGAAGAATATTAAAATGTCTTATATTTTATTCTGCTATGCTCAGTTAGCCTGTATATATCACACGTCACTATGGAACGCTCCTACATTATACATACTTTTAGTGTTAGTCATGTTCTACTTTATCGGTGATCATGTTTAAAAGAAATCTTACAAATATAAATTTGAACCGGCAGATGGAACGACGAGAACGCATGGATCAACTTGCTAGAGATGAAATTGCACAGTGGCGCTGGACCCGATCTGATGAGGAGGCCTTTAGACGCACAGTTGCTTCCTATGGAGTGGAATTTGATCCAACAACCAAAAGTCTTCGTTGGAGTCGATTTAGAACATTGGCACGATTAGACTCTAAAAGTGACGATGCATTAACTGATTATTTAAAGGCGTTTATGGCTATGTGTAAACGTCAGTGTGGTCTCTCTGTGGGTGAAGCAGAACTACCGACAAGGGCAGATTTAAAAGCAGAACCTATTGGTGAAGAAAGAGCTATTGCAACTTTAGAAAGGTATCTGTTTCATTGTATTTTTTTATTTTATATTAAGTAGTATGACAACCAATCTGTATATCAGGCCAGGAATCATGGGTCTTTACCATGTAATTTTAATCCTATATGTCCGAGACAGGGAGCCACGGAGCGATGTAGAAATTCAACCTCGGTATTTCAATATGTTAACATTATTGCCAAAGAGATGAACGACAACTATTAATTTTGTTAAATATAAATTTTAATAATCGATTACTCATATGATATCTGTTCGGGAAATCTAATAATAAGTAAACATAACAAATATAAGGATATATTCGAAAAATAACTTTATTATTACTAAGTTGTTTTATTCTGTTTTATTAAATTACATTTTATTTTCCTACATTTTTCTAACGTACGTTATTATTTATCGGCCATACTGTTTATTTCTAATGATTTAATGAAGTATTAAAAATGTAAAATTGAAACATATCGAAGTTTTTTAATAGATTTATCGAAATAATCAATAATAGATGTTTATTTTTCATTAGTACTTTTGTCATCACTAGCTTAGTCTGGTCTATAACCACACTATTTATCTTTTCAACTGTAGTTTTTAAAATTAATTTGTATCTACTTAATATTAAATATCTTTCACAGAATTGATTTACTACGTGTTTTACGAGAAGAAGTAGCACCACATTCAGCCCTAGATACGCGTTTAGCGCTTTGCGAACGTTCACCTGACACACCACCTTGGTGGCAGCCGGCGCGCCATGATAAGCTGTTGGTTTTGGGAGTTTGCAAGTAAGGAACACGTTGTCATTCCAATGTATAGAATTTTAGCGATAAGTCTCATTTTCACCGGATTGTGTAATTAGAACGGGTGCTAGAGGTAAGTGAGTATGTAAAATGTGAGTACCGAAGTTCGCCAACGGATTTAAGTGACGAAAAGATCAAAGCGCCAAGAAATCGAACGAGTTGCAATTTATTATGCGCGTTAGTAAGAAAAGCTTTACAATCAGCAGGAGTATTTGAAGAATGGTTGAAAATTATGATATTTTTCATGATCTGATCTTTACATGATCTGACAAGAGTATTGCATTTATTTAACTGAATTTTGTGAAGTAAATGCCATACCATCAATAATATAAATTTTGGAAGTATTTAAATTTATTCAATCTTGCTGAGAGCTGTACGATGTGAGTGCGAGTGAGAGGTCCGCTCGACCGATTTTTTAACCTATTTATTAAGATATCTTGTTAAATAACTACAATGTAGCAAAAGTTATAACAATAAAGTTATAGTTTACAATATCGGGAATACTTTTTGTTTAAAAAGTTTTTCTCTAAAATCAGTGGTCAGCTACTAGGATGATTTTGAACAATTAAATTGTTTATAACAAAAATGGACCGGCGAGATTCGAATTATTAAACTATGGACTTTCCTGAACATTAATCCGTCATCGTCATACTCATATTTTGCATACTCAACTCTCTTTGGCGCCTGCACTAAATAATAATATAAATAATGTATCTCCATTGAAGAATTAAAATACATTTAGATATGAATTATTTAAAATCTCATTCTTTGGATCTACTATTTTAATTACAATTAGCTATAGTAAATAATAAAAAATTAGTAATATTAATTTTATTTTTGCAGGCACGGGCTAGGAGATACATTTAACAAACTATTTTGTGATCCAAAAATGCCCTTTGCGGATTGCGCTAATAAATGGTATACAACACATCGTGGTAGCGGAAAACACGAGTCACAAAATATTACTTCTGATGATGAAGAGAGGAGTAATGTAGATGAATCTACATACGAAACACGAACGTCTCTTCGACGTAGTAAACGTACCACCATCGCTTGTGATCGTGATAACGAGGAAGACACCGATGCTCTATCAGAGCTGGAGAACCTCGCAAAGCTCGGAAGGATCGAAGGCTCTCTGAGCCCGGAGCATTGGTTCACGGAGCGAGCTCTCGAGACCAGACTCCATCATATCGCTCATGCTGTGCAAAATCGGGAGTGGCCGGGTGCACCCCCGACTCCTAAGACCGGTGATGGAGGAGTTCGCGCCGCACACGCTGATCAAGCAGAGGAGCGTAAGCATGGTCAGAAACGGCATATAGCAATCGATGTAGAGACCGACCGCGCCAAACTGCACGCATTACTGTCTTCACCAGCCACCGCGCACTCTGCACCGTCGGCTCACATGCGCGTAGAGCGAATGGAGCGCGACGATGCATCTAGTGATTCCGGTTCAAGGCGGTCGACACCGGCGCCGCCGCCAGCGCACCAGCGGGTGGCGCCGTCCCCCGCAGCCGCTGCGGCAACGTTGCCCGCCGCCGTCTCGCCGGGTAACTCCACCCCGGTAGATCTATCTGCGCCGCTAGACCTTAGTGAGGCACAGGACTTCTCAATGGGCCGTCGTACCCCGCACGCTACTGACGGCGTTGCGTCTGCCCCCTCTGCTATAGCCGCCGCAGTCTCATGCGCATCTCCCGTCACACCTACCAGGAGCAAGCTTGACGACACGCTCTCTAGATTGATGAAAAGAAAAAATGTGGTAAGCTTCCTTTTAAATTATACATACATTTACCTATAAATTTATATAGTAGTATTGCCTGTATTATGTAAATTTCAATTTATTCAGTTAGCTACCAGTGAGTTTGTGAGTCGATATTTTTTTAATAACTTAACGTTACCCCGCATTTCTCGATGATTTTCTGTCTTAGATATGGTCATGGCTTAGAAAGAGTCTGATTATTTAAGCATATGGAAACTACACTGCACAGTGCAAATTTCAGAGAAATCAACTCCTTTTTAGCGGTTTCATCAAATTACCCATTTTAGATATTTGCAATTTAAGATTGTGAGGTTTGTAACTTAATGAAGCATTAAATAAAGAATATCTGATTCTATATTGCTTACGTAATGTAAGGTTACCTTTTTATTGTAACTAGGGTTCATGATTTCTCGAGCTTTTCAATTTCTCGGATCTCGAGAATTCTCGAGGTCAATTTCTCGGGTCTTCTCGGGTTGTCGAGAAATTTACATTTACGTATGTTTTCTCAGATTATTTTGTTCCAATAACGTCAAAAAATTCGGTGGTTTTCCTCACAATTAAAAGTATCAAATTAAACTTTTACTGAGTATATTTAAAAACATTAATATTATGAATAAATTAAATATTTTTTTTAAATAGAGAAATAATATTAGGTCCTTACATATGAAATTGGCGTTTTGTCGCACTAGCCACTTTGATCTCAAATATCACTTTGGTTAGGAATTCCATTTCCAAATTTATACAGCTATTCACTTTGGGTCACTCAGCATACAAAATGAAAAAAACTTAAAATATCGCGTTATTTACGAGAACGAGTTCCGCCGTGGCACCAGTGCTACACGGTACTAAACGGCTCGAAGTATTAATTATGTGTATGGTAGTGGTCTCGCAAAAGAAAACACGTGCATTTTTGGTTCCAACGTTTTCGTTCAGGAAATTTCGATCTGCAAAGCAATCTCCGTGGGTGGCCGGAATCCAAGGTTGATAATGAAGAATTGAAGGCTATTGTGGAAGCGGATCCATCGCAAACCATGTCCGAGTTAGCTGCAGGCTGCGGTGTTAGTGACAAAACTGTTTTAATCCTTTACCAAATTGGGAAGGTGAAAAAGCTTGAAAAGTGGGTTCCCCATGAAATCAGTGGAGTAAATCGACAAACGCGCGTAGTCTGCTGCGTTACATTAGTCAACAGGCATAATAATGAAGGGAAATCAAATCATTTCCTGTGATGGAAAGTGGATCTTATACGATAATCGGAAACGCTCATTGCAATGACTGACCCCAGGCGAACCATCCAAATCCTGCCCCAAACGAAAATTGGCTCAAAAAAGTTACTTGTGAACATTTGGTGGACTATTTCCGGTGTTGTTCACTTCAGCTTTCTTAAATCTGGCGATTACGGCGAATGTGTATTTTCAGCAATTGAGAAACCATGATGGAAAAGCTAGGTGCTAAATAACCGAGGCTGGTCAATCACCAAGAACGCTAGACCACATACTGCACAACAGACAGTTACCAAATTAGAAGAGCTTCAATTGGAATGTCTAAGACAACTACCGTTCTTCCCGGACCTTGCTCCAACAGAGTACCATTTTTTTTTCGAAATTTGGATAACTTCTTGCAAGGGAAAAAATTTAACTCCGATGGGGCAGTCCGAAGTGCAAATACAAAAGGCAAAAGTGCATAAATAGCAATGGTACATACTTTGTTTAAATAAATATATTATATTTTGAAAAAAAAATTCTTCCCTTACAAAACGCCAATTTCAATTTTTAGGACCTAATTATTCAGACTTATATTTATAATGACAGCACCATTTTTGGCTACTTATTTAGAAAAAAAAACGTAAACAAAAATAGTTTCTACAAAATAAAAAAAATAACAAAAAAGTTATATCTTAAATTATTACGCCGCCACGCAACAAAACAAACGGCAATTTAATTTCTATATAGGTACATGATTTCTCGAGTTCTCGACTTTTCTCGAGCTTGATTTCCCGGGAACAAAACCCATGAATTTCCCGGGTATAAACCCTAATTGTAACCAATCCTTACTTTCTTACTAATATTATAAACGCGAAAGTTACTCTGTCTGTCTGTCTGTCTCGCTTTCACGCCAAAACTACTGAACCGATTTAAATGAAATTTGGTACACATATTGTCTAGACCCTGAAACAGGACATAGGCTACTTTTTAATGCAACGAATTGATTGCAAGGGGTTGAAATGGGGGATGAAAAATTGTATAGAAGAATCGTCATTTTTGAAGCTAAAAGCTTGAAACTTGTTCTTGAGGGGGGTGCAAATTAAATATAAATAAATATGATATACGAGGTTTTAAAATTTTTTAGGGGGTTAAATAAATTAGGGCATACTTTTTTTATGTAATTTCGTCATTGTTGAAGCTAGAAGGTTGAAACATATTTTTGAGGCTGTTGATTAAATAAAAATAAATATGACATTCTAAGTTTGTTTAATATTTACCCTTGGGGGGGGGGGGGTAAATAAAATAGGGGATGAAAGTTTTTATGTAAATTCGTCATTATTGAAGTTAGTACGATGAAACTTTTTTCATTGGCTTTATGAGTTAGTTTATTAAATACCTTACCAATATTATAACTAAAACTACTGAACAGATTTTAGGCGAAATTTGGTACACAATTAGTCTAGATCCAGAGAAAGCACATAGGATACTTTTGAAAGCGAAAAAATGGTTGTAAGGGGGTTGAAATGGTAGATGCAAGGTTATACAAATTTTGACCCTTAAGTGGGGTAAAATAAAATGGGGGATTAAAGTTTTTAGGTAAATTTGTCATTTTTAGCCAGATGTATGAAACTTCTTCCATTGGTTTTTTGGATTAGTTTATAAAATACCCCACTAATAACTGTGAAAGTAACTTTATCTCTCTGTTTGTCAGTCTCACTTACACGCCAAAACTACTAAACCGATTTAAATGATACTTGGTACATAGTTAGTCTAGACCCTGAGAAAGGACATAGGCTACTATTGAATGCGATAAAAGTGTTATAAGCGGTTTGAAAAGGTTCATGCAAGGTTACTTAGTACGTAAGAATCGTCATTTTAAAGCTATAAGCTTAAAAGTTATATTTTAGGTTGGTGATTAAATATGACATTCAAAGTTTGTAATAATTTTACCCTTAAAATAAAATAGGGGTTCAAAGTTTTTATGTAAATTCATGATTTTGAAACTGTTTTCGTTGGCTTTTTTGGGTTTATTTATTAAATCCCTCATTAATATTATAACTCTCGATCTGGCTTACACGTCAAAAATATTGAACCGATTTAAATGAAAATTGGAACACATAATCTATACTCTGAGAATGGATATAGGGTACTTTTAATGTGGACAAGGGTTGTAAGGGTATTGAAAGGGTAGGTGCAAAGTTGTATGGATATATCATCATTTTCAAAGCCTGAAACTGATTTTTAGGCTGTTGATCAAATATAAATAAAGAAACATGGTTTGTAAGGAATTTAAAGGAGAGTTAAATGTTTATATGGAAATATTGTCATTTTTAAAGCTAGAAGCTTGAAGTTGTAATTTTTTTTATTTAATATATAGGCTAAAAATTAAGAAAAAAAAGTTATAAGAGTTTGAAAGACTTATGAAAGATTGTATGGAAGTCTCGTCATTTTTGAAGCTAAAATGATGAAACTTTTTCATTTGGCTTTTATTGGGTTAGGTCATTAAATATTTTTTTCATTATTTGGTCAAGGTCGCTATTTTACGCGGACGAAGTCGCGGGTATAGGTAGTACCTAATAAAGTAAAATAACTTGTCTATCCGATTATTTGGGATTGCCATTTCTAATAAAATACTGTTACGGGTTTACATAATGAATTTGAAATTGGTTTGGTCACAACTCATTTGGTACCGTCAAATGCGGCGGATTCAATATTTCGTTAACTATTTTTGCGATCGATCGTACTATGAGCACTCGTAGTGTGGTATTTCGCCGTCTAATGCAAATCGGAAATTCACAAAATAGTAAAATCTAATAGAGTTAATGAATAAATACATGTATTTTTTAAAGTCCGTATAATATACATACTAAATATATGAAAACAATCGGGTCACCTAAGCAATAAAATAAGTACGTACGAAGAAGTCTGATAATTCCTGACCATCAAAAAGATATCTATTTAATTATATATATATATATTTCAAATAAAATTTTATTATCACTAAGATACGACCAAATGTTAGATGTTATCCTATTCAAAATTTACAATCTACCATAAATGATAGCATTAAACGCTTCTGAAATCTAATATTGCGGTAGAAGAACTGACAAAGTCGCACTATAAGGATTTATCCTTGCTTTTTTTGTTTGTTCACACACTAAACCTCAGTAAAGTACCTCAGAAAATAAGAGGACTTAGAACCACTTATTCTGTAATTTCACTGCAATAATCTACCGACCGAAACACAGCTTACAAGCAAGTCAGCTGAAATAGGTCAGACTTAAGGCACCCACATAGTCTGCCTCTTCTAAGTCATATTCGTAATGAATTATATTTTCTGTAGTTAATATAATTGATTGATATAATCATATAACATAATAATCATGACATTGAATTATCTTTTTTGTATTAAGATAGATTTTAAAATTGTTGAATTATTTCCAGCCTGCTCCGGAACAGATAGTTGGTAAAGAGAAGAAGAGAAAAAAACTGGATGAAATTGTTTTGGGCTTATCGGTTGCCAAAGGTCGAAGTCCGTCAGCCACATTTTTGTCAGACCCATCTCGTAGTAGAAATACGTCTATTCTTCCTGACGTCACTGTTACACCTGCGGTACCTCCAACATCTTCTGTGGGTTTGCCCATACAAAAACCATTCTCAGTAACTGTTACTAATGTCCCATCTCCTCAAGCTACATCCAAAGAATTGTCTTCTTTCTTACAACAATCACTAGAGCAGACTAATAAAGGGCATAAAAGCACTTCCAGTGTGCCAATGAAGCCCTATTCGCATGAGGCTAAAGTAAATAAATGGCTAGCTGAACAAGCTAGTGTAGATGCTCGTCGTCGTGGATTAACACCTCGTCTCACACCTGACGAACATGTACCTGTTGTTCATCGTGTTACTGGAAAACGTATAGTTGGACACAAAGCACCTCAATTGAAGCATCTGGCGCAATGGATAGCTGAGAACCCAATGTATGATATTGACTCTAAGTGGACTGAAGGTATTAAAGAACATGTTAAATTACCACAAGATGTACGCACTCAACGACATTCTCCAATGCAGTCAACTGTCACCGAACGCAAAAAGGGTAGACCTCCCACTCTCGACGCCTCGTCAGCTAATGTATTGTCTTCAAATGCTCCCCATATGAATCAAAATATTAGTGGTTTAAACCCTGCCCTTTTAGCAAGTTTATCTAGTTTGAGTGCATTTGATCCAAAGACATTAGCAGCAACACTTTCAAACTTAACAGGGTTTGATCCAAAATTATTGAATACATTTGACCCAAAATTATTATCTAGCTTAAGTAGCTTCGATGCCAAGAACAATCCACTGTTAAATTCGTTTGGAAGTATGCCTAATTTATTAGGAAATATTGCCGGAAGTAATATTTTTGCAAATTTAGCAGGTTTAGGTCTACCTGGATTTTCTTCTCTTGATATGAATAATTTAAGTGGATCAAGTAATTCAGCAGAAAAATCGAAACCAAGAAAACCATCAGAAGGAGCCAGTACATCTAGTTCCAAATCTACTAATCCCCAATTTCCTTTTGTATTTCCAAATCCTAATATGTTATATCCTCAACTGGGGCTAGGTGGATTAAATCCATTTGGTATGCATTCGGGTATGTCGTCAGCATATGATGCCTTAGGCCTACTTGGCAATAATTTGGCTGCAAGTTCTAGTTCAGCAACATTACACAGCTCTAGCCATACACGTAATAATACAAAGACAACTACTCCCAGGTCATCAACTGTTGTTACTAGTTCATCTACATCACGACAACAAAAAAATTCTGATCGTCAACAGTCCAATCAACTACCTCAGATCCTTTTGCCACCGGACCCATACCTGTTGGAATCTCTTTCTAAACAGTCTCTAAACTACGAGTCCATTTTAAGAGGAGAAAAACGATCTCGTGATAATGATAGTCATGAAACAACCGCTACTGATTTGTCTAAAACGGATAAAAAAAAAATACCATTTGACACTTTGCGTTCTCAAGTACCTCCTGAATTTGCTGCCGTACAAGAAAAGCTGTTAAAAGGTGATAAGAAAGATATTGATATAAGTAAAATGCTATTGGAACAAATGGCTTCTGGAGCGCTAAGTGCAAGCCTTGTTAGTTCAGCTGAAGCTAAAAAAGCTAAAGATAGTGAGAAAGACCCGTACGAAAAATTAAACAAAAGCTCTTCTGAATATATCGCTAGAACATTAGCATCTGAGGAAAGCTCCACAAATTTGTCATTAACACATAAAAGAACCCATGATGAAATGAACTGTGAACCAGAAAACTTAGCTCTACAGGCGAATGAACTTAGAGCATCAAAGAAACTTAAGGATTCGCTTGTTGAAACCAATAGTAATATAGATAAACAATCGGAAACCAATACAGGAGAAATGGATTTAGAAGACTTAATAGCTCCATCAACTGTTATTAAAACTGGTATGAAGCCTACTGATTTTGATAACAACATGCAGAAAATAACACCTACAGATAACATACCGTGTCCTGCTCAATCTAATATAGAAAAAGACGAAAGTTTACAACCTAATCTAACCAGTCCATACCACGATGATTCAAATGTACTTACTGCTAATGAACATATACAAATTAACGAAGGAAGTATTTCGGATATTGATAATAAAGATAATAATCTTATGGTTGATGATCCAGCCAATAATACTGAAATACCTTCAAATGAGAGTGGACGTAGAGGGACCAAAAAGAAAACCCGTAAATCGTCTGAAGAAGCTTCAACTTGTCCGCGACGTGAGTTGAGATCAAGTGCTGGACGTCAATCCACAGACAATATGTCCTCAAATCATTAAGCTAAAAGTGGATTTAATACCGTAATACGAATAAATAATGAAGTTGCTGGATGATTACAATTTCTCACTTGCATTAACAGCTGACATAAATAACTATAAAATTTTTCTTTGCGTATTATATTGTTTAATATGATGACAGTTTTTATTTAATTTAGCTAAACTAATTGAAATATTGTAATAATTTTTTTTTGTGGATTTTTATTGGAAATATTGTTATTGATAAATTGATTTTAATATGTATATTAATTTTTTATGTTTATGTACGGCATAATTATGGTTGCGAACTTCTTAGTTTATAAACTTTTTATTTTATATTAAAATATATATAATTTAACTATATATAAGGTATTTTCGATAATAAAATATAATCTAGGTGTAAATGAATATGTATCAGCTGATAATTTTTGCTGTGTTGAATTTTAATAAATTCTGACGTCGTATTACACTCATACTTATAGACAAAACAAAATTTGTCTTTGAGAAGACTAAGAGAATATTGAATCTATTTTCAATTTTAATTTAAATTTGTAACTGTCTAAGAAATGTTTCTGGTTTCCAGAAATATTGTTTCGCTAAGTATAGGTAACTAGTAAATAACTTGAGCACAATTTTGAGATCATGTGACTTGCGCTTCAGTAATTTTATCTACAAGTCTACTGCGCAATTTACTTTATCTGTTTGTGTTCAACTTATTTTCTGTGACATTTAAGCTAAATATTAAGAATATTATTAATTATTCTTCATTTTGCTTATAAACTTTTGTATGTTACGTATGTAATGGTATAGTAATAGAAGACTGGATTCTTTATATCTTTTTTAATTATGATTACTTCATACGTAATGTAAAATAAAAATCATGATGATTGAACAATTAAAATATCATATACAAAAGATCTGTAAATTATGTTGGGTGGCAAGATCTTTACTTTGTTTTTGGAAAAATTGAGTTTTATTGAATTTAAAACATTATTTACACATTATGAGAATAAAATTGGGTTCATTTGATTTCATTCGTCAAATATATAGCAGATATTATATTTCTAATTAGTTAATACTAGGGATTCAATAGTATAGAAAGTTGTTTTAAAACAACGGAAAGATAAAACTGCATATCTATTTACTCATTGCTGTAACATTTATTTTCGGCACAAACAATGACTGAAAATAATTTACACTTTAAGTGTAGTATATATAAATTTCGTTATTTATTTATTAAAGATTTGGAATAAAAAAATTTGAACATAGTGGAATGGATTGTTTTTTTTAAAAGTAGTTTACGATTATAACTTATGCTCTACATTTAAAAAACGTAAAGCAAACTTTTTTATCTGATTATTGGTATAACCATACAAATTTATAATCAAAGACACATTCACATAAAAGAGAGATCAAAAGACAGATCGATTGATCATGTTTTTATTTTCCCGTGGATATAGATTATGTTACCGCTGTGAAAAATATCCTGAATATTGAGCGAGCCACGTGAAAATCGCTTAGTGGCTTTCAAAGATTTAAAATTATCATATGCTACAGCTACAAAGCAAACACGCGTTTTTAATGGTAGATATTTATAAACAAAAATGTGTTAATGTAATACACCGATTGTGACTATCTTTATACCAAGCTAGTTTAATATCTGCCCTATATTTGTCATTTGAAACGCAGCATTGGACCAAAAGCCGCGCCTTAATCGCCTGTCAGATTTTTTAAATATTTTCTTGACGGTTGAGTAGGTAGGTAAGAAAATTATTCTCATCTTGAAAGCATTGTATATTTATCATAATAACATAATAATGTGATGTTGTCTATTTCAATGGATTGAGATTTACGGGCGTGTTACAGAGATCTCTTGTAAATGCCTACGTAGGCAAGTTTGCTTTTTAATTAAGCATTGGCTATTATTTAGAAGTAAATTTTATATATAACAAAGAAAAATAATTGCTGCAAATACTGGCCTGAGCAGGTGTCAAATCTTTTATTTTGTAATGATGGAAAAACAATTCTGGCTTTCATGTTAGTTACATTATTTGTTACACAAGTTCTCAATTTAGTTTAGTTTAGATTAAGAGTTAAGTCAAACACTGAATGTGATAAAATTATTTATTACATGTATTCTTATTATTTTGCATTGATTATCTCTATCGATGAATTGTATTATAAATAATTATGTGACAAATCGTAAATAAATTTGAAACTGATATTCTATTGTTATTATTTGAATTAGGTTTCTAATTGCAGTATATCGATTATTATATTATTATCGACAGAAAGGTAAAGAGAATAATACAGCATAATATCCCACTTCTACAAACATACGATTCGCAAGTGAACTGTACATATACTATAGTACGTACCATTTGCAATCTCCTACTAAGAACTGTTTCTTAATAAAGGTTGTAAAAGATGGATTTATTTTAAAATCCATTGAAATTTTTTTAAATAAATGAAAGACAATCTACAACTTTCGCCAATACATGTTTTTCAATGCTTTTGGACATACGCCATAATTTTAGGAGGCTCTTCAAATGCGGATGTATATGATTATAATGCCATTTCTGAATCGTCGGGCTCAATAAGAACTTGACCCGAGTGAATATTCAAAACGGTACAATGACTAATACAATTTCTGAAAATAAATAGGTGTCTGTTCGTCTCGCGTTCACGACAAAACTTCTGAACCGATTTAAATTAAATGAAAATTATATTTTAGCGTGTTGATTCAATATAAATAATTAATTAATTAAGGTATAGTGGATTGTATGTTGATTATCACATGCCTCCTACTTGTTATTATGTACAGAATGTAAGGGGCAGGTTGGCCAAAACGAAAACAGCTGTTTCAGATGAAAGGTCTGAATCAGATGTCAAATTTTAACCTATCGGAAATCCACCACAGCCATATAATTAACGATTCTTAGTTTTACCGCTGAGCAATGTACTGCGCGCGATTACACGTCAGAACATACATAGGTACTATATAGTACGTACCATTTACATTGCAAAACAACGTTAATACATGAATTATAGTAGGTATTCTGGTCGGGTATTAACAATCTAACAGTTCATACATAATGGGGCAAAGTGAATCGGCGGGAACCAAGCTTTGCACTTTATGAATATGGTACTGTACCATTGTTGCCATTCTTTTCGTAGCACTTCATGCACAGTCCAATGAGACGTAGGAACTCCACGGTTACGTCTTAACTTACCTAGGCACATAATCATTTGCCCATATTCGCAGGCAGTTAGCAATCCATTACGTGCTGACGTTCCATTATTTATAATAATAAAATATTCACAATAAGAATACACATCAAAACATAACAAAAATAGTAAATACCTAATTTCACTTCAACACAAAGTCAAAAAATTTGTTTTATAGTGTGGCAAAAGTCGAACTAACAAAAAACTAGTCCCCACGCTATACCCATCTGTGGCCTCCAGGACCATGTAGTGCAGAGGTTCTCAATTTTATTTTATTTACCGATCACTTTAAATACGATTTTCATTAGCATTCAACATTCTCTAAATATTGTGTACACAGAAAATTGTTAATACTATTAGCGCAATATTTATTCAATTTAAAACCAATATTTTAATTAAATTGAAAGTTTGTTAATGTGACGCTCCCATTTAATCAAGAAAGTCCAAACGACTATATAACATGTAGGTAAACGGTTTCTCTTTTTAGTAATACCTGCCACAGCACGAAATTACAGAATTGAATTATCGGATGGTTGTTATAAAAATTATATGATATACCATATATGATATATTATTTATTGGAGTTTATTTTATAAAAAAATCTAAACTTCCAACTGGGACGAAGATCATCCGGTGTGCTTTGAGTTGCAATTGATTTTAAACATTAACACAGTAATTGTTGCCGATGGCAACCTTTTTGATAGTTTTTATGTTTTTTATATATATTTGAATTTTATATTTTGACATTCTATTTTTGTATACCGTTTGTTTTCTTATGCCATATTCTTTATCTTTATATTTTTGCTGATTATACTTATTTTACCTCACCTAGGAACGTGTCTCATTTTAAACTAGCCTTAATACAGTCCTTCCGTAACATTGTGGTCCTTTCTTTCGCCCTTTATTTTTATATTATATTATATTCAAATTCTAAATTTTTCTCCGACATGAAGACACGTTCCCAAACGAAGGGTGAGAGTAGTCAGCCAAGACCGGAATCCTCCGCGGATATATTGATGAGGAAACTAGCGCGCCGCTCGAAACAACGGGCACAACACGCTCTTTTATTTCAGGTTCCACAACTTCATCTTCCACTGTCAGAGCCCGTTCCGTAGCCGCTCAAGTCGAGCATGCGAAAAGGCTCTTGGATTTGGAACGAGCCGTAGCTGCGAGAGAAGCGGAGCGTGAACGTGAAATACAGAACGAGAACAACAAGAACGTGACCATGGAAGATGTACTGAAGTTAGCATTCAAAAGTAACAAATTTATTTTGGTATGTGGGGATTTCAATATAGATCTTCTTATTGATAGTCCTATAAGTCATAAAATTAGAAACCTTTTTAAAAGTTTTGATCTTGATCATATTTTATTTGAACCTAGAAAGATTACGTCCACTACAGCAACATGTATTGATAATATATATTGTAATTTTAGTATTTTAAATAAATCTATAATAAATACATTGCCGTCAGACCGTTGCGGACAAATTGCAACATTCGCATGTAATGAAAAAAAACGAGATTATATATAAGTTCTACAGACCAACAACAGCATTTAAATTACAGAAATTTAAAATCAAATTAAATGAAAGTTTACAGTTTTTAAAATTTGACAATATTGATCCAAATATATCATATAGTCGTTTTTTTCAATATAATAAACACGCATTTTGATAAAAATTTTACAGTAAAGAAATTTAAAGTCCATAATTCTAAGTATGCTGAATGCTCAACGTTAGGTATTTATATAAGTAGGAAATATATGTATCAACTATATGATAATAGGTCCTATTTGCGTGATCCTATATTCGAATATGTTAAAAACTATTCAAAGATACTAAAAAAAGTATGTAAAGCCGCAAAGGCACTTCATTTAAAAAATAAAATAAAGTCTTCTAAAAATAAAATAAAAAGTACCTGGAACATAATAAACTAGATGAAAACCCGGCTTCGCTCGGGTGAAATGTGGGTAGATATTTCTGTAGTCATCGGTTCTCAAGGAATATTAAAGGTAAGCACGGCATAGATGCATATAGCTTCGTTCATTGTGTTTAATAAATATAAAAAGTGCAAAAGTTTTTACACAAATAATTTTTATTTTAAATCAACATTCAAAATAACATAAATTAACAGAACATATCTTAACTAACTTTTAAGATTTATTCTCGTAAACCTCTTTGTTTTAAGCACTCTCCACTTTGGCAGATATTTAAAACCAATTGTTTAATCCGAACATCTTTCCCATTCTTGATTGTCAACTGGAAGTAAATAAGTACTTATTTTATTCACTTTAAGAAGAAAACATAGAACAAAATTCACTTAAAAACACAATCTGCCTACATAGTTACTAAAATACTACTCACCATATTTACGAACAGCACTTCGCTGTATCCACTTTCCACAATTGTGACAATGTCTACTAAATGCAAGGAGATTCAGCTGTAACAAAATGATATAGGTATCATCATACAAAAGGCGAAACAAAGGCAGTGACACAACCAATGAAATTTTTTATGAAATACTTACGATTACGATACGATACTTCGGATTTACGAGTG